TCGACTTGGGTTAAGTTGCTCATATTGAACTGATGGTGAAGCTCAACATAGCCTTTGAATTACTGACTGGAAAAATGGTGATTCAGAAAGGAATAGTCTTGTCGAGACCTATTGATCAAATAGCACCCATTTTTCCAATTGTATGCACGGCATTGAGTGAGCTTTTTTTGGCCACAAATATGCATTAGAAAAACAGCTGACTTTGATGGTTTACATGAAGTATTGAAATTACGGTGCCTATGCGAAAGAAATCTTTAATCTTGGTTTACTGTATGACATAGAATCGAGGAAACGCTAAGTAATCGACTGACGATCGTGACTGCTTCTTTAGATCCCTCGTGTGTTGTGTAATGCAGGGTAAATATGAAGAAATGTAGTGCACAACGAACGCAGCGACTAGTTTATGTTTCCACCTTACTGCCAAAATACTTCAAAAATTAAAAAATATCAAAAATAAAAATCAAATTCAAAAGTATGTGGGTGAGCGAGTGACAGAATACAAAAGTAAGCAAAGCTCTTTTCATGAAAATGAAAAAGTTTCCTCGCATATATTTCAGTAATTGTTAAACTTGACCGCGCATGTTGCGAGACATAGCTTGTCTAAATTGCTTCTTTTTTACTCTACCATATCGCAATGCTTGTCTCAAATTAGTAAGTGTGGCCAAGTGATAGCAAGCAGTGGAACTCGGCCCACCTTCACTTATGTATATGGGTTACGTAAGAGGCGGTGGTGTAGCAGCAAGTGGCACACTATCACAAACGCACGGGCCGGGTATCGAATCCCTGGTCGATATCCGCTTTCGCTAACTAACACTTCCCCTCCCGCAACTCATTGGGCCAAATACGTATTCGTCACTTTCTGAGAAGGAAGTCAAATTTGGAGGGCATTTCAAGAAGGGGTTGGTAATGTCGAAAACTTGATCCTTTAAAGTTTAGTTGAACCATGTTGAGACTACGGGCAGCATGGATTAAGTAATCGGAATAGACTTGAACCGGTTATTTCGAGGCACGTCTTTACGATTCTTGATTTTTCACTGGAGGCAGGACTAGTGTTGGCAAGCGGGTCGGCCGTACTCAATCGCCTGGCTTATGCCGTTTACTCGTGGAAAACTCTCCAGAAGCGGTCTAATTCAGGCTGTTGAGTATGGCCGATCCCTTGCCGACAGTAGGAAAAATGAGCGGCCAACGGTGAAGGTCCATTTTGTGTGACTGACTGCGTGACTGTCATAGACTAAGATTACATGGGTGTAATACGATTTCGATTTCATATCAGTAGATAGATTATTTCTTAGTTTCACTAGTTTCTGAGTACCCTCCCAGAACAACATTGTAATAACAATTTGATCGATAATCGTGGTTTCCTCAACACGCGGTCTCAGTTTTCGCTTTCTTTGTTGTTGTGAGACTTTTCTAGCAACCCACTTTCAGCCAGTCTTAAAATCCCAACCACTCAGTTTGTTGTGCTCACCGCCTCTAATACCTACAGATCCACGCTAACTTCGAAAATACTCGAAAGGATGTGGGAGGGGTGGGGGCAGCTA